TTTTTTTTTTTTTTTGGTAGTGCAGTGACTAGATTCACAAAATCTGATTATTTATTTATTTATTTGCTTTAATATGTAATTATGCGTCATTAATTAAATGCATCTGATAGTAACTTTGGTTTATTTTGTGTCATCTAAGAAAGTAACCTTCATTATCGCTGTCATAAAACCAATAAGCAGTCACCATAGTATTTAAGAGAGAGATAAAATACAAAATTATAATACCTTAATGAAAATGATTCTCTATTGTTAAGTTACTATTCAACATTTTTATCAGTATCAGTGTTGGTCTTATAAGTTGACCGCCACTGGTAAGCTGACACTTTGTAGTTGCTTGATTTTCCATGCACAATGGATCAAATGTGCATTGCGTTTCAAGTTGTTCACTTGCGTCATTGCATAATTGGCATTAAGTACATTTTTATTTCACAATGCTAAACGAAACAACGGACTTTCTTTTCTTCTTTAGTCGACAGCAGGAGATAGAGGAGCGTCTGATTGAGGAGGAGACGGCACGACGCGTAGAGGAACTTGTGGCCAAACGTGTGGAGGAGGAACTGGAAAAGCGAAAGGATGAGATTGAAAGAGAAGTGTTGCGGCGGGTGGAGGAGGCCAAACGCATCATGGAGAAACAGTTGCTAGAGGAGCTGGAGAGACAGAGACAAGCAGAACTGGCTGCTCAGAAAGCTCGGGAGGTAACTTGCACGTGAACAGACAACACAGAATATCTCGTATTAATGCTGATTCAATGGGAAGGTTTTCCTGTTTTGTTGGAAATGGGCCTGTTTCACACCACATGCACATTTTGCAGGCCACATTAACAGAAGTAAAGAAAATATTCAATACAGTGACCCAGAAATCATGTTATTTTCAGTTTAGAGCTGTAGTTTATTTTTTTTTTGCAAAAGGTACTGGTGAGATGGTAGCCTACTGTTGCTTTACTACATACTGCATAATTGTGTGGCGTTAAACAGGCTTCAGCCTATTTTTTCTCAAAATTAAAGGTGATTTTTGTTTCCCCCGAATTTTAACTCTAATCTTACAAGCATCATTGTAGCTTTGTGTATGACGTAGTTAGAGGTCGACCGATAGTGGATTTTGCCGATAACGATAGCTAGGTTATACCGCACTGGCCGATACCGATTAATTAACCGATAGTTTTTCAAATGGATACGGAACAAAAACGAAAATAGTGCTTTATTAAAAAAACAGTACTAAACCATACTAGTAGTAGTAGTAATAATAATAAAAATGGTAAAATTAACACACTCTAACAAGGAACAATACTTTCAGTACACAGCTTTCATTAATCTTAATGTTACAAATGGACTCTTATTT